TTCTTTTATTTTTTCCCTGACACCACCCTAGTATGAACTTTTAGCTCTTCAATCTTGGACTGTTGCAGTCCATCTGCCTCACTTCAACATGAGTCCTTTTCCTTCTCATACTTTTACTCTATTCTGTAACCTGCCAATCACAAATTGGTAATTGTCCAAGCCATCATTTTCATGATCTCACTCCTCTACTCTTTGAAGGTTCTCCATTGCTCAAAGCAGTTGTTTGCAATCTAGGATGAACATCACAATTACTTGGAGGACTTTTTCAAAAATTCAGATACTTGAGCCCCACTCCAGCCCTACTGAGTCATTATCTTTGGTAGAGGCTCTGTATTTTAAAATAAATCTCTCCAGGTGATTCTGATACACAGCCAGGATATCAGAATACCCTGATACACAGTCAGGTAGAGAACCATTGATTTCTAGAATAATGTTTTCCAATCATAGCATGACTTTCAAAGTCACTGTGTTCAAGAGATTTATGTTCTAATCTCAATTCTGTCATGAGCTGACCTTGGGCAAGTCACGACCCCTCTCTGAATTTCAGTTTTCCTATCTACAAAATGAAAGTTTGGTTCTTTCCCACTTAGAGTTTCCATTTTAAATTCAGGATGATTCTTAACCTCTTTCTACTTCTATATTTTGGTTGATGCCATATTTTAATCTTATTTCAGGAAAGCTGATTTTGGAAATGATCTAAATAAAACAAATGTGTAGGTGATTGTTTTCAAGCCTGAAATATATCCATGACATCCTTTTCTATCTTTTAAACAGAGTTTCACTTCCTTATGTTAGAGACTGTCAGGACAAATTGCTATTGTCTATTGTGTAGTTTGTTGTTCTGCATTCTGCTTTCATGTGTTTATCTTCTCTTGCACAAGTGACCTCTTTGACATGAAATTAAATTGTGGAGTAAATGTAACAAAAATGGAAAGATACCAATGAAAAAATTGAATTTCTTCTTAGTATAATGAGTTATTTATAGCAGTTGTGGGTGTGGTCATCAAAATTGACTCATATTACAAGAATGTTGATACTTTAAAGAGAAGCTAGTACTATCACTTATAAGTCAAAATTAGGTGAAAGAAATAACCATTTTTGAAGAAAACCTAAATCTTGAGAACTGAACAAAATCCTTTGGTAGTTTAAGGTGGTATACAGACTTAGATTTAGGTTAAATAAGTGACAAAATAATATACTATAGACTTAAAGCTTCTCTTTATTGTACATAACAGAGTCTGTTTCTCCCTTCTCTCTACTGGAACAATTATTAAGGTCAAAATGTCTTTTTTAAACTTTAAATTTTAATTTTTGGCAGTACTGGGGTTTGAAATTAGGACCTTGTACTTTCTAGGCAGGAGCTCTATCATTTAAAGAGCTACCCCACTGGCCCTTTTTTGTGTTGGTTATTTTTGAGATAGGGTCTTGCTTTATGCCCAGGCCAGCCTGGACCATGATCCTCTATTTGTGCTTCCCTGCATACCTGGGATGACAGGCACACACCACTATAGCCACTGCAGCCATTGATTGAGACTGGGTCTCACTAACTTTGCTTAGGCTGGCTTTGAACTACAATCTTCCCAATCTCAGCTTCCTGAGTAGCTAGGATTACAGACTTGAGCCACCATTCTCAGCCTGAAGAGTCAAAATATCTTGAGGCTTTTGGCCAGGTAGTAGATATAAAACTGATACCTATTTGTTGAATGTGAACTATGGCAGTCGATCTCTGCAAGGTCTACTTGAGTACAATTCTATCCAACATTTCTATAAAAAGCTCATCTAAATATCGCAATGAAACATCCTGTATAACTGATATATTAATAAAAATGTTTTCTAAGAAAAAGCTCATCTCATGTGAACTGTACAACCTTTTGCTTTCCATGATACTACTACTATTTTCTACTCTTTCTTTGATTGTTCATTCATAATAGAAGAGAATCATATGCTCTTTGAATTAGGATGGACCAGTGGGAAAATGCTTTCAAAGAGTAATATATTCAAAAGAAAAAGATTTTAAAAATCCTTTGGATTTTTAAAAAATAGCACTAAGACTGAAGCTGTCTTTATAGTGTCATGTATAAGCTGAAAAATAAACTAAAAAGGATTTGATTACATGGGAAGAGGACTTAGGTATTTTCAGAGCCATTTCATGTATTTTGCTCCTGAGTTCCAAAGGATAGGCTGGTGGAGTGGCTCAAGTGGTAGAGCACCTGCCTAGCAAGCTTGATGCCCTGAGTTCAACCTCTAGTACCACTAAAAAGAAAAAAAAAAGGATAATGTGAGTTGTAGAGTGGTTTGATTGAAACTTCCAATGACTTAAGTCCTTTTGGGCAAATGACTGCCACTAACAGAACTTAAAGCAATGTCTTAACTCTTCTATGTACCACTATATGGTTCAGAATACACCTGATAATAGCTTTATATCAATAAGCTGAAGAAATCAAGGGGATAGGGCAAAGTGAGTACTTGAATACTTGATTAGAAGTTGTTGTTAAACTACTTGAATGCTATCTGCTCCCCCAGTACCTTAAAACTTGACTTTGTGCAATTAGTTTCAAATAGAATTGAAAAGAAATAATAGGAATGCCACATTCAGTGAATGGTCACTAGTAGCCTGGGTGCTTCTGCATTAATTCTTGGGATAACAGAGCTTTTGAAGGAGGAAATCTCATGTAGTGACAAGAATTTTTTATTTAGAATTTATCCCAGTTTGTTAATGTATTAATTTGTCCCTTTGAGTGTCATGTAACCTTCTTGAGTCTGTTTCCTTCTTTATAAAATGAGGGTAACACAGCTGAGGTTTAAGGGTGGGGGTGCAGTATTTGACATGTATCAGACACTCAGTGTTTATTCATTTATTTATTATCACTCTTATTGAGTGTCTGAGCTATGCCAGGTACTGTGCCAAGAGACTTTATAAGGAATTTGTTTGCATAATTTAAAGTACTATTTAATTGAAAGGTGTTATTATTAATACATATAGATTATCTGTTCATCCATCCCTGTCAAAAGCATTAGACAAATGTTTCCCGACTGTAGCACTTGGGCTGTATGAGCACCAAGAAATTTTGTATTTTATGTAGTTTGCTATGTGACTCAAAGACAGAACTGGATACTAGAATTATCTTTGGTGACTCTGAGGAGTGAAAAAATTAAAAGTCTCTGCAAACTGTATATGAGTGCCTTAAGACAGGCTGATCCCAAAGCATGCCCTTCTATCATTGTGAAAAGTACAGGCTCAGAAAGGATCTTACTCTTTACTTCCCCTACTCCAGAGTTTTGCTTTCCTATTTAGGAAGTCACCATCCTTGGGTCCCCGTAAGCTGAGTATTGATTGTCTCAGAGTGGAGAGGGAAACTGGAGATTTAAAAATCTTATGCTGTCCTGTAAGATGTTCTATTCATGCACTACCTTATACCATAATAAGAAAGAAAAAAAAGCTGGAGCTGGGGATGTAGCTCAATTGTACAGCAGTTGTCTAGCCTGCACAAGGTGCTGGGTTCCCTCCTCAGCTTCACAGAAAAAAAAAATGTACAAAGATTTCTACATTTTTTTTTTTGCAGTGCTGGGAATCAAACCCAGGGCCTCCCATATGCTAGGTAAGAACTCTACCACTAAGCTACATCACCAACATTCTCAAAATTTTAAATGTAGAACATAGGGAAAATAGACAAAGAAAAAATTAAGAAGAAAAGGAAATGCATAAGAAATAAAAAAAAAACAGAGAATTAAAGACTATGTCCCCAGGAGATGTTAAACAAATGACTGCTATTGCATCCAGTTTCTGCTGACCTGCAGATGGAACCAGTGCTTAAAATGGGATTATCAAGAAATTAATCAATCAGCTCAAGTTATAAAAACTTCCTAGCTTACGCTATACATCTCAATATCAAGAACCACAAATTGCAAATGTATAGGAAATTTTGTATCAAAAGATCAATTATGAACTGTGCAGAATTTTTTAATTATATGAGTATATTCTCTGTATTCTACTATGGCCCTTAGAAACTTTTTTTTGCCTTGTTGGTTTGATTTTTTTTCTCCTCAGTTGCTGGTTTTATTTGATGTACCTGTCTTAAATTTCTCAATAAAGAAAAAAAATCTCTATAAAAGAAAAGAACTGGTGCTCAATTGGCTGCTGAGCTGACATCACCTTTGGAGATGTCATTAACTTCAAAGCAAATCAAAATCAGATATTTAGAAAAGGCAAGACTAGTACTAATCAAAACAATAAAGGAATGGTTAATCTTTGCCACCCAGCTGCCTCTTTCATACCCTTTTCAGCTCCTCTTTTTTTCTTCTGGATCTTTAACTGCCTCTAAATGCTTAGCTTATGTTTATTTCTAAAGATGCCTTGATGTAAATAAGCTTTCATTCACTGATACACCATTCCATCTGTATGCCTTTCCATTCCAGATGTTCTGAGAGATATTTTAGAGCAGGTTTCCATCCTTCAAGTCAGGCCATGTAAGCACTCTTTTCCTGAGTACATAAGAACATGACTCACTACAAAGTAAAGTCTGATTACTTCCTGGCCCTACAATAATACAGGTTCATTGCCTCTGTGATGTCTCCTATTAACTTCCATTACCACTGTCTTAATTTTCTCACTTTCTTTTTTCCAACTTTGTTACTTTTCAAGAAAATGAATATAACTAATTTTCTAGCACCTTACATTACTTGGAGGTGACACTATTCTATATTTCTCTCAAACTGAAATAACTTAGTAAAATCATTTATTTAAATGATCTCCTGCTTTAGCAGGAAGTTACCATTAATCTGTCTGACAGAAATGTTTCCTTGTTGTTTCAGGAGCTAACCCTAAAATCTCTGTATTGTTTGATATTTATTATAGTCTCCAAATTCATTATTATCATTTTTCAGGGTTACAAACTTTTTAAATGTTCTGAAATATGAAGTAAAATATAGATAATTCACTTGACACATTATTGTTACTACTTTTCCCATTTTCTTCACTTTTTCTGTATTGTCTATTACAGATGACATTATAGCCCTTAGAAACACAGAAACTGGCACCAAAGAAAAAAAGAACGAGAACCATAGCAAAAAGAACTCAAGTTCAAGACTGCAATCAAATGTTAACAGGAATCACCGCCATCGCTGGCAGAGAGGTAAAGTATACTAAAAATCACACATGGTAAAGAGTCTGAAATATCTGTGAGTAACAAGGTAAGCAAATTCAAGAACTTGTAATGTTCTAAAGTTCTATTGTGGGGTTTTTTTTTTTTGCTTTTGCTTTATTCTTCTTAGACATGACTCATACAAGGTTAGTAAGAATTTATGTCATGTCAAAAGAAAAAAATTTAATTGATATGACTTACCTCCCCTAAGGGAGGGCAAGATAAGAAAAGTAACTATATTGGCCAAGAAGGGTTTTGTACCTGGCTGGTTGGTCTAATTCCACTAGGAAGAGGGTTATGAGGGTGGTTAATAATCTGGCCACCATGGCATCCACATGTGGTAAAAGGAATGTCATTAAGCAAAGAGGGATGTAAACTATGAAGAAGGTCCTCTGGAGCCCTAACCACATTGGTTGGTGTAGTGATCATATTTTAATATGAATGTGCTGCAGATTACCATAGTAGAGAAGTATTTTCAACAATTAAGGGTCTCTCTGGTCTAGTCAATAGATTGGAACCATCTTGACACTGCACATTCCAAGCCCCTAACAATTACCTACCAGCTTCATTAGAGTCCTTGTTTGAATTCTTTAGTAACTCCACCTCTCCTGAGAAAAGGAGGAATGGTGACACTATAAGGGTAAAGCAGCTAAGAATGGTGAGAAGGCCCGTGCTCATATTCCTAACCAAACATAAAATTAATCTTTGTGAACTTTTGGATATCTATATTTTTTATTGTTTCTTAAGATCTGTACTTTTTATTATTTCTCAGCAAAGCAGATAATGAAGACAAATATCCATATGATTAATACAAAGCAGTTTCTCTCCATCTCTCCTTTTTCTATTGGAGTATTCATTTAATTAATTTCAGATATGTTCCAACTTTGATGGCATCCAAATCAAATGTGAGGTATTGTATACAGAAAAGACTACCCTATTGAAGTAGATAGCAAATAGAAATAGTATGGCAAAGACTGTCCTAGAATTCAGTGAGACTCTAGATGATATCAGAATAATGAAAGCAAAAGTTTTGCTAAATGAGGTCATAGCTTTAAAAAAATGAGATCACAGATAATATTTCTGGAAAATATGTTGAATTTGCTATCTAAAAATATGGAAAATATTTTTTAATGTATGTGCAGGATTCAGAGACAACTTGAAGGAGAAAATAAATGATAATAAATCAAACAAAGACAAGTCTGGACAAAGCTCTTCAAAGAGGCAGCCTTCACTTGATCAGGTGAATAAATACCAAGAATTAGCTGATCTAAAAGATCCTAACTTAATATTAAGAATCATTTTAAGTTCTATTGAGAGCAGGGATTGTTTCTTAGTATTCTTCCACAGTGCCTTGAACATAATTTAAATTCAGCATTTGTTGGTTTATTTTTTTTTTTGGCACCTGTGACTATTTTAATAAACATTTGATTTTTTTTGCTATTTTCAATCATCACTATAAATGTTGAATTCATAAAATGTTAAAATACGACTGGAGAAAAACAGATTATTGGTAACTGTCATTTGTCTTATATATAATCATTCTTATTTTTGTAGTCATATAGAGTGTTTCATCTTAAGTTATAGTATAAAACCAGTTTTAGTAGCCTTATAAATTAATTGTAAAAGCCAGAAGTCAGGTAAAATAGGATATGAAATACACCTGTGAACCAACAGGTAAGACAGACTATACTTGTACAATCCTTCACCTCTAAACCTTTGGGGGGGCCTAAATAATGTATACACGTGTAAGTAAATGAAAAAATGATAAAATAAAATAATAAATAAATAAACTTGATAAACTGGTAACAGGACAAAACCTTGAGAGGTGCTCATCCAGATTCATAAACTAATGATGGTATTAATGCTTGGCTTACCATATAAACTGATTTTTCTTAAGTCGTTATGTGGTCCTTTATTTTAAAATGGTGGTTCTGGAAGCATAAACCATTTTGCCAAGTTTGGAAATAAAAGTTGTTGACTTATCTATTTAGTTTTGGAGAGGAAAATGTTGCATTTTTAAATATTTGAAGGATTAATTTGAATTGATTGAATAAATACTGCCTATTCTATACAGCACTACGGCGACAAAGAATCCTGTTTCAAATACTGTATATGGTGGTAAGAAAGAAATGTAATGCCAGGCAAGCACTATGGGCATTACAGACTAATAGGGTATTTGCTCTACATTGCAGGAATGCAGTAATTCATTTTGATTGGAGGAATTGAGAAAGTTTGATGGAAGAGATAGCATCTATGCCTTGTAGGATGAGTTGTTTTATTGTTGTTGTTTGGTTTGGTTTTGCAGTGTTGGAGATTAGGTACGCTAGGCAAACATGCTACCAAGCTACAGCCCCAGCCCCTTCGGGGGGGTTTTGATAAAATTTGAAAAGAATGCAAGCTTCCTTTTCGCTACAGTCTGAGATACATAAAACTGAGTACAGTATAAAACAATACTTTCAAATTGAAAGCAACTTCCTATCACTCATATTTTTGAAATTTTTGAAACTGTCATTATAGTAGAACTCACCAGAAAAAAAGTATAGTTAGGAAATATGAAAGCCAGACATCATAGTGCATGCCTGTAATCTTAGCATGTCAGATGTTGAGGCAGGAGGATTGTGAGTTTGAGGCCAGCCCGGGCTGTATAGCAAGTTCTAGGTCAGTCTAGGATACATAGCAAGACCTTGTCTCAAAAAAAAAACAAAATGAGGAAAATAAAAGGAAAGAAATATAAGAAAACTTTAAGCATTGTTATTTTACCATTAAATTGGATAATTAATTTTCAATGTTGCTTTTCAATTCTTTTTGATTATTTATTTCTTTAATTTTTGGGACAGGGTCTCTCTATGTAGCCCAGGCTGGCCTGAAATTCACAATCCTCCTGCCTTAGCCTCTGGAGTGCTAGAATTTTATGCATGTGTCACCACACCTGGCAGTTGCTTAGCAATTCTAATAAACTAGTTGTGTATTTCACAAGATTTAATCTTAATATCACTAGGACAAAATTGTATTTCAATGCAATTCTTTTTGCTAGAAGGTTTCTGCTTGCTTATAAGGAAAGAAACTGAATGTGAATTTCATTTCCTAAAGGTAGGAAATCTATAGCACTAACCTTGGCAAAAGTGTTTGGGGGGAGGGGTGTTAGGGATTGAACCCAGGGCCTCATGCATGCTCAACATATACTCTACCACTGAGCTACATCCCCAGTCCTGAAAATATTTCATATAAAAACATTCATGAAAAGACTGCAAGCTATGTCAGAAAAGGTCTTCAGGAGATTGACCTCAGTCCCATCTTTCTTGATGCTCCTCTGTTCCCCAAACTAGACTGCTTTTCAGTAGAAATGTTGCAGCGTGACAATGGCTTTGTACGAAGCAACTAATTTTTCATGTTATTAAAGTTTTCTGTGCACAATGTTCTTTGTACTAACATCTTCCCTGCTATTTAGCAGCTGCTTTCAGCTTCTGGCAGTGTTACACTAGAAAGTCATAATGCCAAACCTAGGGTGTGTTTTGTTTGCCAGGCAATATTTACTAGTGGAAAGTTTGATTTCACTGCATAGTCCATATGACTTTATCCATTTATTTTTATGTAACATCATAGATTGGTCAAAGTTTTCATTATTTCTATTTTGCTGATTCACTCTGCTGCCCTTTTGGTTTCAAAACTGAAAAGGTAGACTGAGTTGTTACCAGGTCAATTTACCTTAATAGCTTCCCCTCACTTTATTTTCTATCTAAAATTAAGTAGTTATTTATGTCGAAGAGATACATACTTTTTTTAAATGATCATCAAGCAAAGAGTAAACAGTATGATTGTGAATATTGTCTGTTGATTCTAAGGCTTTGTAATACAAAATATATTAAAGATTCTAGCTCTCCTCAACTATAAAGTCACACAGTCTTGTTCATTTCTTTAGTAAAACATAGATCCAGAAAGTGGTAAGTAGAACATGAACTTGTAATGTATTTAAATTCATAAAGCAATTATTTTTCCATATTTTTATTTTATTAAAGTTTTATGTGCGTAATATTTTTGTGCCATTTGCATGGGATATTAGGGCTAGTTTACAAATTCTAAAAATTAGTATATATGAAGTAGTCACAATGGAATTCTGAAAGAACAGTCATCCATAGAAATGATCTTGAGAAGTATCATTATAACTTAATCAAATCATGGAGTGTATCTTTCATTTGTTTTGAATAATTGGGGCCCTTTGCAGGAGAAGTCCAATGGCAATTATAAGGCAGAATCAGAGAAGAATCAAGTCCAATTGGAGGAGAAACATCAATCACAAGAAAATCAACACAAATCCAAAGGAAATCAAGGCCAATCAGAGAGATCTCATGGCCAGCACAAGAGTTCTCATGGCCAATATAGGAAAACACATGGCCAATCAGAGAGATCTTATGAATACACAGAAAGATCTCATGACCACTCAGACAGATCTCATGACCACTCAGAGAGATCACGTGGTCACTCAGAAAAATATCATGCCCTGTCAGAGAGATCTTATGACCAATCAGAGGAATATCCTCACCTATCAGGGAGACTTCATGGCCAACCAGAGAGATACCAAAGATACTTACCAGCAAGAAGATTCAGAGAATCACCCGAGTCTGAGTTTGACTTTGACAGGTAAAATTACAAAAAATAGAGTGACTACTTAATTAATACAATGTGTTGAGTGATGCAAAAAGGCATGAGCATGCTTTATATTTCTATATTTTAATGACTAAATATGTACTTGTTGTAACAGACATGTATTGGGACAAAGACATTAATAGAATGGATACATGGTATCAATGGTATTAATTACATGTAATTACATTAGTTAATTACAATTATCAATGGTATTAATACATACATAGTATCAATGTTCTTGCAACTTGCTGATGTCCTGCAGTCATCATCCAATTTCACAAGGTGTCCCTTTAAATTTCAGCTAGGTTTGCTTTTCTTGGCAGAACCCCATATATTCAGCCTTTCCTAATGGGCCTACTCCACAATCAGAATATTTATTATTGACTAGGTACCCTATCCCCTTTGACCTTCCAACCTGGTGGGCAAGCTAATCTAACAACAAGTTATATTAACTTGATAATATATAAGCTATGGTAATGAATTTCTGTGTTTTCCTCCTCTATGTCCTTCCTAGACCTCAGAGTCAGGGCTGAGGTCAAGTGATAGAGCTCCTGTCTAGCAAGTGCAAGGCCCTAAGTTTAAACCTCAGTGCTGCCAAAAAAAGAAAAAAATAATAATAGACAAATGATAGATATAGCTCTGGGAAGTTGAACTTTTCTCCTTTCCACATATAAAGAGGATGCCTATTCTATGTATGGGTACAATCCTAACCTTCTGAATGTATTTTCTATTATAAATATAAATATATATATATAATATATATATTTACTATTGCCTTCTAAAACTATTATGGTAGGCCTGTCTACTCTAGCAAAAGAGCAGAAACAAATTGAAATAGTATTGTGGGCTGAGTTTTTAAAAACACAAGACATTTTTATTGCAATTTGTTAGATTATTAAATATAAGTTTAATTTTAGTTAAATTTTCTCAGTGATTTCCCTCAGTTTGCATGATCTATACATGTCTAGTAAAATATTTGAGTTTATATTAAACACTGCACAGAATTGTTGATTTCAGCTAAAAAATGTATTTCTACAATGTTCATGGGAGTTATTGTATGTGTGTATATAGATATTTAAATATAATATCTAATGCAGACACCACTTTAATGTAAAAGGCTCCACTCCACTTACACTAATAGTATGCACATAATTTGTTAAACAAAATTAAAACATTTAACAGTGGTGACAAGCGATCCATCTATCCACATTTATTGGGAATTCTCACATGTTAGACTTCATTTTACATATCAGTGTTTTTGTGAACCCAGGGCCTAATGCTCTACCACTGAGCTGCATACCCAGGCCTATACATATTAATTTTTATATCAGTTTTTTTTTTGAGGGACTAGGGTTTGAACTCAGAGATTTGTGCCTGCAAAACAGGTGCCCTACTATTTGAGTCACTCCTCAGTCCTACATATTAATTTTCATTTGTCAAGTGATAAAATTCTTCCATTAAATCGCTGAAGACTCCATTTACATTATTGTCCAGCAACATTTTTCTATCACCTTGCAAATACATTTTATGAGCAAGGTCCTTGGTTTGATCCCCAATACTGTAAAAGAAAAAATAATACTGTTCCTTTTTCTTCTTATTAGGTTTTTTGTGTGTGTATGGTAGAGGGAATTGAATCCTGGGCCTTACACATGGTAAAGCGCTAAGCAAGCACTGTACCACTTAAGCCACACTCCCACCCCTTATCTTCTGCTATTATAATTGTTTTGTGTCCTCATTGCAAATAAATAGCACTTGAACAGTTAAAGTTATCAAATATAGAAATGTTATTAAATAGCAAACATATAAAGGACAGAAAATTAGCCAGGTGCCTGTTGCTCACATCTGTAATCCTAGCTACTTGGGAGCTGAGGTGGGGAGGATTGAGGTTCAAAGCCAGCTGGGACAGATAGTTTGTGAGACCCCATCTCACAAATAACCATAGCAAAATAGACTGGAGGTGTGGCTCAAGCAGTAGAGTGCTTGCTTTGCAAGTGTGAAACCCTGAGTTTAAATTCCAGTCCCACCAAAAAAAGGACAGAAAAGTAATGTATTTTTGTAACTGACCATTTGGAGATTAATTCTTCTAATCCATATGTAAATTATCCTTCAGAACTGGAGTTTGCTTCTGTGTGAAGTATTAAATACTTCAGTAATTTCATGCCCTCACACAAACTTTTCCCCTCAGTTTCATCAGAAGATAAAGACAAGCCATAGATGCTAATTACCTTTTTGCCATAAATAAGTGAATTTAAAATCCAGCATGATGGCCCAGGCCTGTAATCCCTGCACTCAGGAGGCTGAGGCTGCCTGATAACAATTTCAGCTTTTTTTCCTGCCTCCTGATATGATAATAATGTTACCAGGCCTTGGCTGTGTTGATAGGTAAATAGAGATAGTAGAACAAAACCATGGTTTGTACAGCCCCTAAGTAATTGATATGAGGTGCAAAATCTGCATATCTTGAAATTAGTTGTGCTGTCCCCTAATAAAAGGGTTGTTTTTTTGTTTGTTTGTTTTGGTGTCACTGGGTTTAAACTCAGGACTCGACTCAAGGCCTCATGCTTGCTAGGCAGGTGCGCTTCTGCTTGAGTCACTCCACCAGCCCCATTTTGTGTTGGGTGTTTTCCAGATAGGGTCTCCGGGAACTATATGCCCTAGCTGACTTCGAACTGTGATCCTCTTGATCTCTGCCTCCTTAGTAGCTAGGATTACAGGCGTGAGCGTTAATGAAAACTTTTCTAAGCATCACAAGAGTATCAAAGGAAATGAGGCACTTGGTTTTGGAGTGCTTGCTAGTGAAACTCCGGTTATAGGAGCTGAGGACATATCTCAGTGGTTGAGGGAGTAAGTGCTTAGTATGTGCAAAACCCTGGGTTCAGTATCAGCACTAAAAAAAAAAAATTGCTCAAGCAGTAGATTGTCTGCCTAGCAAGTACAAAGCCCTAAATTCAAAACGCAGTACCAAAAAAAAAAAAAAATCTCATTCTCACTTGCAACATTTTGGTTATTAATGTCAGACATCATTCCAAGTAATTCCTGAAATAGTTTTAGGCTCTGATTGTAATTGACAAATCAGACCTTGAATTTCAAATTCCTAACATACTATATTTCACTCTAAAAGCAGAAGTTTTTCTAATTATTTGATGTGATTATTTGATTCCCCTCTTTTTATATCAAATTTTTCTTTTCTCTAGCCCTGTTGCCCAGTTATTGGTATTTTACTTATCTCTTGGAAGATATGCCACTGAGAAGCTGGTCTGTTTTTCTAAGAAATTAACTTTCCAAGGAAGAATAAATAGCATGAATTAGTAGAAGCAACATGAAAATAAGGAGACATAGTTCCATGACACAAATCTGTCACAAATATGACATTGAACTACTTAATACTTTTGGGTTTCAATATGCTAATATAGGAAAAGAGAAATTTGAACTATGCGACTTTTTGAGATGTGGTCTTGCTATGTTGCCCAGGCTGCCAGGCTGTTCTCAAACAGCCTGATCCTTCTGTCTCAGCCTCCTGAGTGCTGGGACTACAGGCATACATCACCATTCCCTGCTTTGAACTACATGACTTTGAAGACATATACCATCTGAAAACATTAATTCATGAAAAAAATGAATTTTGGGTTTTTTTTCATTTTAATAAATTGTACTAAAAATTACAAAATATAAAAATTACCATCTTAATTTTTGTATTTGTGTGTGTGGTGGGGATTGAACCAAAAGCCTCACACATGCGAAGCATATAAATCTAACACTAAGCGACACCCCGAAGACCTCATCTTAACTTTTTTTTCCCTTTGGCAATACTGGGGTTTGAACTCAGGGCTTCACACTTACTAAGCAAGTGTTCTACCCCTTGATTCATACCCCCAGCCCTTTTGCTTTAGTTTACTTTTCAGGTAGGGTCTTCAGCTTTTTACCCAGGGTCAGCCTCAGGCTATAATCTTCCTACTTATGCCTTCCATCCAGCTGGGATTACAGACATGCACCGCCACATCCAGCCTTTTTGTTGAGTTGGGGGGGTCTCACTTTTTCAAACTGCTATCCTCCTGATCTCTACCTCCCAAGTAATTGGAATTACAGCTATGTACCAACATGCCTGGTCCCAGGATACTGAATCTTATCAAATACTTTTTCTGCATCAATGCAGAGCAATCATGTGGTTTTTATCCTTCATGTCGTTAATGAAGCATATTACATTAATTGATTTTTGTATGTTGAGCCATCCTTGTATGCCACAAATAATTCTCACTTGGTCATGGTATATAAATTTCAGTGTGGTCTTTAATTTGGTTTACTAATATTCTGTTGAGGATTTTTGCATCAATAGTCACCCAGAATTTGGTCTATAGTTTTCTTGTAGTATTTGTATCTGGCTTTAATATCAGGGTGAAAGTGGCCTCATACAATACGCTTGGAAATTTTCCCTATTCAATTTTCTGGAGGTGTTTTGAAGGATTGGTGTTAATGCTTATTTAAATGTTTGAAAGAGGAATTGGGTGTAGCACAGTTGTAGCATGCTTTCCTAGCATGCACAAAGCCCTAGGTTTGATCCCCAGTAATAAAAAAAATTATTTTTGGCAGGAGAGCTGGATACAGTAGCATGTGCCTGTAATCTCAGCTACTTAAACTGAGATGACAGTATTATGAATTCAGTCTGTGCAACTCAGTGAGACCCTGTCTCAAAAAAAATTAAATAAAATGCGGGACTGGAGGAGTGGCTCAAGTGGTAGCACGCCTGTCTACAAAACATGAGGTCCTGAGTTCAAACACCAATACTGCCAAAAAGAAAAATATGTGGTATAATTTTCCAGGGAAGCCATTTGTGTCTGGGTTTGTCTTTGTTGGGAAAGTTTTATTTATTTATTTATTTTAGCAGTACTGGAATTTGAACTCATGGCCTTGACTTGCTAGGCAGGTGCTCTTACCACTTGAGCCAGTCCATCATCCCAGCAAAATTTTGATTAGTGATATAATCTCTTTACTTGTTA